TAGGGGTCGTAGGAGTCATACCTTTTTTATCACGAATAAGGTCACATAAGGTCCAATGACCACATGAAGGTCAACTTGCATACGACATCAGTTACGTGATTTAAGTCACATAACTTGAACTTTATGTCTATACTTGTAATGACTCCATGAACACTTTCATACTTGCAGCATGGAGTGGCATGACAACGGGGGGTGTGTAACCATCGACTTCTACCATTCTAGAGTCTAGAACTTTCCAAGATTGCAGACACACTGGGCTAACCACAGAAGCCAAGAACCAAGTTTGGATCCAACGGGGATGTGGGGTGGGGGGTGGGGAGGTGACTCAATTATCCTTCAGTCCAGAATAAGATCAATGATCAATTGATACCTGGATTAATAAGTGAAAACTATAGTCACCCACATTTTGAACTAGTGTCTCTGTATGTTTTTGTATGTTTCGGTCAGTAGGTAACATTTCAAACCGTTCAAAAAACATTGATTTTTTAAATCTGATTTTAAACTTAAAAATACTAAATTTAATATTTCTTTTAAAATTTATCAGATTTTTTTTTTAATACTTTAAATTTTAAAGTTTTTGAATAAAAGTTTGACAAAAAACGTATCTCAGTGTTCTGTATTTGTTTCATTTCACGTGCTTTATTTCGAACGTTTTTATTTTGTACATATTTGGCTTCCTGTGTTTTGTTTCGTATGTTTTGTTTCGTATATATTTTGCAAGATATGTATTGTTTTGTATGTTTTGTTTCTTACATACTTTGTTAGATATGTATTGTTTCGTATGTTTTGTTTCGTACATATTTTGCTAGATATGTTTTGTTTCGTATGTTATTTTTAGTCTTCTTTTTTTGTATCCACCATCCGAGCAACACAATAACGTCCACCTTAAAAACTACCACCACAAAAACTATCACAAAAACCACCACTATAAAAACCACCACCACAAAAACCATCACCACATAACCACTATTATAAAAACCACCAGAACAAAAATTATAACCACTACAAAAAACAAATACCATACAAACCACCACCACAAAACCACCACTTCAAAAACAACCACCACTAAAACTACCACCACAAAAACTACCACCACAAAAACTACCACCACAAAAACTACCACCACAAAAACTACCACCACAAAAACTACCACCACAAAAACTACCACCACAAAAACTACCACCACAAAAAATACCACCACAAAACCACTTCAACACAAAACCACCGACACAAAAAAAAACACAAATAAAGAACCAACAACATTAAACCATCTCAAAGAAACGAGTTCACCTAACTAAAGCTTTGGAATCAGTTTACCGAAACGACCGCGTATATTTCCTAGTCATTGTCACGTTCAGTACCTAATATTTAAAGTTCCAAACGGCGAACAAAAACAAAATACTACTACTACGGCCCATTCACATATACGATATAACGTTATATAACTATTTCAAAAAAAAAATATCATCAGCCTATTTTATTCAACAACATATCAAATGCAACCAATAATTTAATTAACTGTTGATAGTGTTGCTTATCTGAATGATTGTTTTTTAAATACTAACACATTTATGTGGGGAGAGCGTGGTAACAAAACCCACACTATATAACACATTATAACAAAATGAGAAACCACCACCTCGTTTATTTATGTTATATGATATATATGCAGTCCCTACAGAATAAATAATTTAAAATAAAACAACATATAACAAATTCCTACATTGTTTTCTACATTCTTCTTCTTCTTCGTTCTTAAATATAACAATGGGGGGAATTTCGACAAATACAAGCAGTGTTTCCTCCAGGCATCTCTTCTGGGGGAGGGGGGAGGTGCATGGTCTACCGCCCCCCCCCCCCAACAAAATGGAATTCATATAGAAAATATATACTTTTAACAGCGTCCGCCTCCCTCCTCACCCGAAAATTGTAAGTGCCCCCCCCCCCCCCCCGGAGAAAAAAGTCTAAAACACTATATACAAGGAGCTATTACTTGTCTACTTGTTATACACCCTATGGCCCGTTGACCGCCTTTCTTTTTGGATTTGATTCCATAGTCTTTGTACACCCAAGAACAAACTACAAGTCAGCGGTTGTTTGATTTTGGTGTTTCCCTAACTCCTAGATGGGCTTGTGCCCCCCCCCCCCCAGCGAACGTGCCACGTCAAGGGGTCCTAACTAGAAACGGGTGGGTGTATAAATCATATGCTCTCCCGCCCGACCAGGCCATACCCTTACAAGAAAATATAGTATTCAACATTGTTGTTATGGTAGCCATCTTTGTCACGTGGTTTAGTCATGCTGACGTGGTTGTCATACACGTAGCACAACTGACGTCTGTCTATAAACACATCTGTCGGGGAAATCCCATACATTTTTGTTGTATTATACGCAATAAGTGCAACACGTCAAAATTCAATAAAATGACCACCCCCCCCCCCCACACACACACTTGCGACATGTGACATGCGAAGAAATGTTACTGGTTACGCAATCTTTTTCAATCCACGAAGGATGACTCACATGTTGAGTTATGGTTCCTGAATTATCTTTTAAAGTTAATTGAAGAAACTTTTAAATCAAAAATTAGTAAAATAAACATTGGCTGTTTTTTCATAGAATATTTTGAGTCAATCTCATGTCACTTTGTGAGTTACTTCAAGATGGCCAGTAATAGCGTTTTCTTTATATAATAAAAAGTACAGAATCCTTTTTATACCTAGCAATCCATTGGGCAGATGAAGTAGAGTCAGGGGCGCAGCGAAGGGGGGGGGGCGGGGGTGTGGACCGCACCGGGTGACACCATTTATGGCGGTGACACCAAGGCAAAAAATTGCAAAATATATACAGAATAACTTGAGGGGGGGGGGGTGCAAATCGAAAAATTTGAAAGTTTGTCCCCGGGAAGGGTCGCTACGCCTCTGGGGGGGTGACACCATTAAGTGCCGCACCGGGTGACACCCGACCTCGCTACGCCACCGAGTAGAGTTCATATGTTTCCTGCCCTCAGCATATGAAGGGAAGGTGTGGTCAGTACTTTGCCCAGTCGCTTTTGTTTTCCCCAACGTGAGTTAAATACCCATCCGAGCTGGGTGGACTCAGTGACGTTCTACTGACTTGAATTCGGATTCGAACTCTAGACTTTAGGGTTAGCAGCCAAGCGATTCTCTGTATACAATGAGCAGTAAAAGTGCTGTTGCTATGATGAACAGCAATAGTGCTGTTGCTATGATGAACAGCAATAGTGCTGTCGCTATGATGAACACTAAAAGTGATGTTGCTATGATGAACAGCAATAGTGATGTTGCTATGATAAACAGCAATAGTGTTGTTGCTATGATGAGCAGTAAAAGTGATGTTGCTATGATGAACAGCAATAGTGTTGTTGCTATGATGAGCAGTAAAAGTGATGTTGCTATGATGAACAGCAATAGTGCTGTCGCTATGATGAACAGCAATAGTGCTGTTGCTATGATGAACAGCAATAGTGCTGTTGCTATGGTGAACAGCAATAGTGATGTTGCTATGATGAACAGCAATAGTGCTGTCGCTATGATGAACAGCAATAGTGATGTTGCTATGGTGAACAGCAATAGTGATGTTGCTATGATGAACAGCAATAGTGCTGTCGCTATGATGAACAGCAATAGTGATGTCGTTATGATGAACAGCAATAGTGTTGTTGCTATGATGAGCAGTAAAAGTGATGTTGCTATGATGAACAGCAATAGTGCTGTCGCTATGATGAACAGCAATAGTGCTGTTGCTATGATGAACAGCAATAGTGCTGTTGCTATGGTGAACAGCAATAGTGATGTTGCTATGATGAACAGCAATAGTGCTGTCGCTATGATGAACAGCAATAGTGATGTTGCTATGGTGAACAGCAATAGTGATGTTGCTATGATGAACAGCAATAGTGCTGTCGCTATGATGAACAGCAATAGTGATGTCGTTATGATGAACAGCAATAGTGTTGTTGCTATGATGAGCAGTATAGTGATGTCAGTGTGTCAGTAAAAAGGTCGTTGGTGTGACACTCACATGTCGCGAGTGGCACCTTTTTCCTGTCACTGTTGTCATAACCACGCTCACACTGGTTGACCTCGTTTTGGTGCGACCTGTGACGTCAAGAACCTCGTCTTGATGCGACCTGTGACGTCATGAACCTCGTCTTGACGCGACCTGTGACGTCATGAACCTCCCCTTGATAAACCTACCCTCCTTCCCTCACCACAACTTAAATATCTGTAACGAGCTTTTTTAAAATTAGCATATATAAGACCAGTATGGTAGAAAGAGAGAATAAACTACCGTAACAAAAGTATTACGGATGAGATGGGGGGGGGGGGATGGAACGGACTATTTGATTGAACTACATCCCAGCATGCAGTTGTGTGCACTATTCGATCTCTACCATCTACCCATTACCTCAACTATAAATTCTCTATATCGATGATGTATCGACTGGACTTTCAAGCTTATTAACAGAGTCCCGAAACGCATCTATACTTAGAAATATTACAAACTTCGGATATTCCCGTTTTCTGACAGTAAATTATTATTGGGTCTAATCCCGAAACTGAAAATCGTGTAATCAAGATAGCGAACCTAAAGTTAGAACTGAAGAACGGGTTATTTCCCTTACGTAATGCTGCTATGCACGGGTGCATGGCTATATAAATCTGGCTTGTGTATGGTCTTGGTATAACAGTTGATCTAATGCAACGTTCCTATTGCTGCGAGAGATACATTTCAGCTATACATCACAGCCAGATCTACAGCAATACATAACTAGCCATATATCCAGACTAGCCATCGTACAAACAGCCAGAGAAACAGCCAGAGAAACAGCCAGAGAAACAGCCACAGAAACAGCCAGAGAAACAGCTATAGAAACAGCCATAGAAACAGCCACTGAAACAGCCATAGAAACAGCCACAGAAACAGCCAGAGAAACAGCCAGAGAAACAGCTATAGAAACAGCCATAGAAACAGCCACTGAAACAGCCATAGAAACAGCCACAGAAACAGCCACAGAAACAGCCACAGAAACAGCCGCAAGATGCCACGATACCATACGTACTACAACTATGATGATGATGATGATGATAATGAAAGTGAGGAAAGTTACGACGACGGCGATGAAAGTGATGACGAGAGTTACGACGACGACACTCTCAACCTGCACGGCTGCTCCGTCGATGACGCCATCACCAAACTACGAGAGTTTCTGACAGAAAAGAAAAGAGGTAAGGAAATATTAGTTAACTACTCCAGTACTGTCGTAGCGGTGTCAGTACGAGTTGGCTTGATAAGCATAGCTGCTACATTTTTTTTCTGCAAAGGATGGGAGAAATGGAGGGGGGGATGACGGAGTCTTATCATTGCCGTCCATACATGTTCACACCCCCCCCCCCACACACACACACGCCTATGTTTTTTTATTTAAACCGTGGTGTGGATATTTAGTCCCCAAATTTTAGTTTTTACAAGCTGTCTGTCTAGATCGAAACGCCGGTGTGAAATTGCAGGCTTTTCTAACTGGCAGATACGGTTCGTAGTTGGTACGTGGGTCAATACGTGAAGACAATGCATTGTGACATTCAATTTTACTTAATTGGTCGCCTTATTAATTTTTTATGAATTAATTAAAATTTAGACCGAATTATTAACATTTATATCTATCTTTCAACTAAAGTTGAATTAGTTATAAACACATTTTTGGAAGACAATTCTTTTTTAATAGAGCAAAGTTCGATATAATATCTGGACTTATAAAGGGCTCGCATAAAAAAAATAGTTTGAGGCCTTACAAATCTTACCCTATCCCCCCACCCCCCTATCTTTCTCTCTCTCTCTCTCTCTCTCTCTCTCTTTCTCTCTCTCTCTCTCACACACATACACATAGACATCTATACACATAGACACACACAACTGTGTGTCGTGTGATGTAAATAACTGTCTAAAATCGTCTACTTGTGCAGATTACGTCAACAGTGGCAGACGACGAGTTCACCGCTTCGTTGACGTCATCACCGGAAGAGGCGTGCACAGCGACAGGGGCTACTCCATTGTGAAACAGAAAGTTAAAAAGTATCTCCGGAACCGGCGCTACAGGTACGACACAAGCGTTACACATCGTCATTTCATAAACCAGACGTTGTATAATTCTTTGATACATTGCTGCGTGATTCTGAATGATGCAAAAAAAAATTAAGGAGCCCAATTTAGAAGAGAAAGTCCATACCTTAAACTGCAAAGACATTTATAAAAAGTTTAGAATCTCAATGAAATAGGGGCTGACAAGTATATCTCTATAACTATAAGAACTACAACAAATGAAATTAATTTGTTGTAGTTAAATTATGTTCAGGTGTTAGTTGAAATTGATTTTCAGACCGTTACTAGGCAAGGCATAGCTTTGACATGTTATGCGTCATGTAGGTCAATACTTATGGGTCATAAAATTCTAATCACTTATAACGGGTCACTTAGCAAAGTTCAAAGAGCAGGGGTGACATATTTAAGGTCACAAAGTAGGTGTCACTTAGCTAAGGTAACAAAGCAGGGGTCACATAGCTTTGACGTGCACTATATACTTGAAATGACTCCATGAAAACTTTCATACTTGCAGCATGGAGTGGCATGACAACGGGGGGTGTGTCACTATCGACTTCTACAACTCTGGAGTCTAGAACTGTCCAAGATTGTAGGCACACTGGGCTAACCACAGAAGCAAGTTTGGATCTAATGGGGATGTGGAGTGGGGGGGGGGAGGGGGTGACTCAATTATCCTTCAGTCCAGAATAAGATCAATGATCAATTGATACATGGATTAATAAGTGAAAACTATAGCCGCCCACAATTTGTTTGTTTCTGTTTACATTTAAAACCGTTATAAAACTTTTTAAAAATGTTATTTTGAACTTTAAAATTCTAAATTTAATATTTCTTTCAAATTTGCAATATTTGTTTCTTTATTTTGAAATTTCAAGATTTTTAATAAACGTTTGACAAAAAATTACCTCAGTGTTCTGTACTTGTTTCGTGTAACGTGCTTTATTTTGAACGTTTTTATTTCGTGCATATTTTGCTTCATATGTTTTGTTTTGTATGTTTTGTTTCGTACATATTTTGCTTCGTATGTTTTGTTTCGTATGTTTTGTTTCGTACATATTTTGCTTCATATGTTTTGTTTTGTATGTTTTGTTTCGTACATATTTTGCTTCGTATGTTTTGTTTCGTATGTTTTGTTTCGTACATATTTTGCTTCCTATGTTTTGTTTTGCATGTTTTGTTTCGTACATATTTAGCTTCCTATGTTTTGTTTCGTATGTTATTTTTGGTCTGCTTTTTTATATCAACCATCCGAGCAACACCACAAAAACTAACACCACAAAACCACCACTTCAAAAATTACCACAACAAAACCACCACCACCACAAAAACAACCACAACAAAAACAACCAACACAAAAACAAGCACCACAAAACCACTGACGACACAAAACTAAAACAACTAACACAAAAACACCACTACAAAAACCAACAATGAAGAATCGTCAGCATTAAATTATCACAAAAGAAACGAGTTCACCTACTAAAGCTTTGACATCAGTTTATCGAAACTACCGCGTATATTTCCAAGTCATTGTACCGTTCAGCACCCAATAATTAAAGTTCCAAACGGCTAACAAAACCACAAAGATTTATGATCTAGTTCAACGTACCTATAATTACCCTACGACGTCACCCAATGACCTACTTCAGTGAACAAAGCACCTGGCCACAATGTGTTTTAGTTCACAAATCAAAGAGCAGACGTGAGACCATGACCGTTATTTGAAAACTAGCGGTTCGTGTGTAGTACAGAAATTACCTGTTACGTTAAATGTTACACAAATTACACATTTTATTGGGTATTTTCTAAATTATTAGATCTACAACTACGAATACGTGTTTGTTTTATGTAACATATAATTTGAGTTGATAATTCACATGTAGCGTTGAAAACCTCAAAGTAATTGAATACTTAAAAGTAATATATTAAAATGGGATTTTATTTTTATTTTCTAAAGGCTGTACCATTTTTACAAAATCTAACATTAGAGATTACCACACTCAAGGATTAGCATTGCTATTGTTCATTTTATCGCCTTTGTCTTAGGCATTCCGTCATAAAGATTTTCAACGTTGAGCTTTTTGTAGTTGAGTTTTTCACAATAAAAATTTACATCGTAAAGTATTTCAAGATAAAGTTTTTTTACAGTGATGTTTTTGACGGTAAAAAATAAAAACAATTTTTAAAAGGCGAGTAACAGTACGAGGTATGGATAACACAACCCAGAATGTTATCCAGCACTTCTCTAGCTTCACTTCCGGTCAGCTGATCACCTACCAGCAGCTCCTCTCCCTGGCCCTGTCCGTGTCCTACATGTCCTCCATCGTCCTCTCCCTCGGCGTTGTCCTCAACTTCCTCAACATGGCAACATTCGTCCTTACCGGCCTCCAAGATGGCGTCACCGTTTCCTTTTTTCTACTCTCCACTTCCGATTTCGCCTATGACCTAATTTCGCTGACCATCCGGTCATGCGTGGTGCTGACTTACTCCGGGCAGACGTCTATAGTCACGTGCTCTGAAGAGTTCCAACTCGTGGCATACTGGCACTCTCTGGTTTTCTATGACTACTCCGTGTACGTGACCGCGTTTATCGCCCTTGTACGGTGCTGCTGTGTGGCTATGCCCTTACGTTTCAAAAACCAGTTCACGGTGTCTAGAACTCTTTGTGCCCTGTGTTTATTTTTCATCGCCGCCACCATATTGAGAACGCCAGCCCTCATTGCCATGACACTACGCAATACTCCATCACCCAATCAAACCTCGGCTTTAGAACTCTGGAACAATCTTCGAATCGTCAACGACACCCTCAACAGAAACATCATCCCTTTGTCTTGTTTCATCATCATTTTCCTCTGTTTAATTATCCTGTCTATAAAACTTTTTTCCGCGTCCAATTTTAGACAGACCATGACGGCGCCTAAACAATCCAAGAATTCCAGAACCTCTTGGACCAAAAAAGACCTTCGCGTGGTACAGTCGGTGACCTTGATATCCACCCTGTTCGTGACCTTCACTCTACCCTTCGTCGTCTGTTCACTCACGCGAACCATCTACCCCGCCATGTTTGAATCGGATTTCTTACTCAACGGTTTGATAGAGCTGAGTCAGCTCCTGGGTTTTGTAAACAGCAGCTTCAACTTTTTCATTTACTTCCGGTATAATTCAAAATTTCGCCGCCATTTTCAACTCATGGTGTGTTTAATCAAGAAGCGGACAGTTGTTAAAAAAGGCAGATTGATACCTTAACGTTTTTATACTTACTGCCTGTTGTAACGTTATTGTGTCCCCTGTTGTAACGTTATTGTTTCCCCTGTTGTAACGTTTTATTGTAACGTTATTGTGTCCCCTGATGTAACGTTATTGCGTCCCCTGTTGTAACATTATTGTGTCCCTTGTTGTAACGTTTTGTTATAACGTTATTGTGTCCCCTGTTGTAACGTTATTGTGTCCCCTGTTGGAACGTTATTGTGTCCCCTGTTGGAACGTTATTGTGTCCCCTGTTGTAACGTTATTGTGTCCCCTGTTGTAACGTTATTGTGTCCCCTGTTGTAACGTTATTGTGTCCCCTGTTGTAACGTTATTGTGTCCCCTGTTGTAACGTTTTGTTGTAACGTTATTGTGTCCCCTGTTGTAACGTTTTGTTGTAACGTTATTGTGTCCCCTTATGTAATATTATTATGTCCCTTGTTGTAACGTTTTGTTATAACGTTATTATGTCCCCTGTTGTAACGTTTTCGTGTCTCTTGCCGTGATCAAGCCCAGCTCCAACGTGATCCGGCCCAGCTCCAACGTGATCCGGCCCAGCTCCGACGTGATCCGGTCAACCTCAAATGTGATCCGGCCCAGCTCCGACGTGATCCGGTCAACCTCAGATGTGATCCGGTCAACCTCAGATGTGATCCGGTCCTATTCGAGCGCGAGAGGGAGAGGGGAGGATTCGGGAATTCAAGAGTTTTATTGAAGACAATAACTAATTATCTTTTCCTAACCACGATTAAATTAAATAAAACTTTTGCAAGCTGTTTGATTTAGAGTTTTTAATTGAGTTATACTATCATATAGAATTAGCATTTAAAAAGCTTACATCTAGACTATCCATTAGTAAATTCCAATTTTCATGAATGGTGTCACCATAAGATTTTTATATATTTTACTTACAATACATATTTTTAATATTTAAAAAAAATATATAACAGCCAATCAACAGAATAAATGCGTTTTAAATATATATTATACATTTTAGTCATCTTTTTCAATACAATATGTTAAAACTATAGTGGGGTTTCACTTCATAAAAAATACAATATGGAAATTATTTTTAATAGAAGAAAGCATGTTTTTGATGGGAAAACACTCGTTTCAGACTAAGTAATTAAAACAATGACACGGTTCTTTCCCTTTGACCGTGTATTTTTTTTTTGTTTCTACGTCGTTTTGATGGGAAAACACTCGTTTCAGACTAAGTAATTAAAATCAATGACAAGGTTCTTTCCCTTTGACCGTGTACTCTTTTTTTTTTTTTTTTTTTTTTTTTTCTTCGTCGTTTTACATGTGAAGTCACTCTTATTATATTAATACTTGTGTTTAAAATAGCTTAATTGATTTCAGCATAATAATACAAACAAATCAAACACAATTTGTTATTTTTTTTTACTACAAAGGTATATATGAATACTTTCATATAGCCCTTTTTTCTCTGCTCGCCCCTACGTAAATGTATGGGTGATAAGTTACAGGTGATCGTAACTATTTATACATACATATATATATATATATATATATATATATATATATATATATATATATATATATATATATATATATATATATATATGCACGAGCTTGAATAAAGTTGTTTCGCTTTACTGAATTGAACTATTGGTATAACAAAAATGATAGTCAATGATACTTATGGTGATGGTAGATATAAGAAAGATGAAAATAGTATGGATGATCAGGATGATGATGAATGTGATGACGACACTGTTGATGATGACAATGGAGAAAACTTAGAGGGATACGAAAGTGATGTTTGCAATGACAGCGAAAAAAAGCGAGAAGTGTGAAGATGAAAGTGGCTATGTTAGCTATGTCAAGGAGGAAGTGGCCACTATTAATCTTCTCAGCTGTTCAGTCATTTTCTGAACGAAAAAAATAATTTATTCTATCATTTTTGCAGTCAAAAAAATATATTTTATTTATATTAGTAAATTTTTTTGTCGGTCTTTTGGTTTTTAACCATTTGATTTTTTTTTATCTCTCTTTTTTCTTTTTTTTTTTCTTTCATCTGTTTTTACAAGCTTTTTATTAACTTGCTTCCACTGTCTGACTTTCTGTCCGTAATCATAGATCGAAACTTGCGAGTGAATTATGAGCACTTTTGACTGACCGATTCGTTTCAAACTTGGCACGAGGGTCAAGAAACTATGACGATGCAATCTGTCGTCAAATTTGACTTAATGGGTTGCCTATTTAAATTTTTATGAATTTATTAAAATTTCATAAATTAGTGGGACCTACTGTTTACCGCGCTATTTAATGCACATGTTCATGTTTATTTGGTGCGCAATAGTTTTTAGTCATACAATTCTATTGTATTAAAAATTGTAAAGTACTGAAAAAAAGTTTTAATAACAAGCTTTTACGAAATAACAAACTAAAAAGGAGAAAATAAATGACTTTTCTGTAAATATAAAACGATACACTGCTATTTAAATAAGGTATTTTAAAAATCGTCTGCTCACTCTTTATGGATAACATGACATGGCATGTGTAAACTGTGACTGAGAGAATTTGGAAATAGTTTGGGGAGTCGTGGGATTATTGGTGAAAGAAAATCAAATTAATTTTTTTGGACGAATACCAAAATGTATTTTCTCATAGGTCTATCTGATAATAATATCAACGTGTGTATCTAAAAACTCTTTTCGGCTCTTCTAATATTTATTCCACCTTTCGACGTTTAGTAAGACCTTTGCTTGTGTACAAATAAATCTGAGTAGAATATAACTAGAAACTAGAATTTAGATTCTAGATCTATCTAGCTAGACTAGTAGATCTACTAGATCTAAGCTTTAATATAATTTTCACAACTTGGGATCAACTAATTCGAAGTTTACAATGTATATATAAATCTAGATTAGACGTTTAATGGTTTGGATTTGGATGAAATTTTGGTAATCTATCGTTTTGGGTACGTAAAATCGCCCGCGGCTATTTATGTACGAAAACGTTACCTCATTGTCAAGGCTTTAATAGAAGTATATTGTCATACTTTTGTGTCAAATATTATAGATAAATGAATAATAAACCTAAATCAATGGCTAAATATATCGATATAAGCCAGAAATTAACTTTAAACAGCAGTGTCTGAGAGCAAGATTTGCTATATAAACAGCAGCCATTTGTAAAATAGAGTGACTTCCCCCTGAATCTGGCGCTAAAAGCTTATAAAAATAAAACTTAGACAAGATGGCTGCTATAGTAAATGAGCATGATTGCATATGTTGGAAACATCGCTAGTCTTCATTTATTACGAAAAAGTTTTAATTTAATTGTTTAAAAACAGGTACATAAATGAATCAAGGAAACATTTTTGAATTTTTTAAAACATAAATCCTCCTCAAAATGTGAAATAATTATTAAAATTTAAGGAGTCACCTGTTTTTCACATTACAAATCGCGGGCGATTTTACGTACCCAAAACGATAGATTACCGAAATTTTGATGAATGAAATGGTGAGGCTTGAGTGAGGAGTTTCTTTTATTTTTTATCAAATGGCTACATTTAACAATATTCCTGCTTTTTATTAATTATATAATTAACTATCTAGATCTAGGCCTAAATTTAAAAAAGTAGGCCCTATCAGTGGAAAATATTGTACTGTAGGCCTATAGTAGAGGTGATGGCGATCTGCGTTATGACCAACGCTGCTTTCACTCTCCGGTTTACTTTATTTTGATGTTTTATGCAAAACCACAGTGTTTTTTCATTTATTTTCATTTATGAATACTTCTATGTAGGTAAAGTTCTTTCAATTTCTTTTTTCGGAATATTAATTATAAATTTTTAAAAGTTGCATGTATTGTAGGCCTACACATTTTCTCACTTTCACTAATTTACACTCTCCCGGATGTACTGACTGAGTTTTGGATTAGCGGCAAAACTTTAACCAATCAACAGTTAGATAAAAATAGCTTCTAGAGATGCAGGCCTATAAGCCTATAGCTAACTGTAAATGTCAAGGTTAATATTTAATATTATATGGTTTTCTCTACTAAAATTACAAAAAAAGGGTGATTACGTGATTTTCGGTACCTATCAGTTCCCTTACCCCTACTGCGCTCACAACTCAAAATATTGCTTATTAAATAGGAATTTAGGTTTATGACATTAATTTGCTAATTAATTAGATGGAAGGAGGAGGAGCGCATGACCTAGTTTGCTGTAAGGTTTATTGGACCTGGCAGGCTCTATGGGAGTCATGTGACCAGGCTAGCTTCCAGGTGGGATTAGTGGGTCATGTGACTTGCTCGGCATAATAAGTAGGTTCAGTGAGGATCAATGATATATTTAAACATACTTATAACATAGTATACACATAAAATATGCAGCATATAAATTCTAATATTTATTTTATTTGTTTAATTAACTTTTAACAGACCCAAAATAGTCTAAATGAATAAATTAAGCCCTGAACATGGTCAAGCGACTGCAAGAAAAAAAAGTGAATATCTTGAGTGATAGGAGGTTCACAGCTGGGATTTGAATATCTCCAATGCTACGTGTATGAATACAAAATGACTCATATACAACATTATAGTAGTAGAATGGATGCAGAGTTAAAGGATACTTTCCGTTTGTTTGTACGTGAAAAGGTCATTAAATAGCGCCTAATGGAAATCGTGAGTTCCACTCTGTGAGCGCAGATCGGATGACAAATTATTTTTAAATGAATGTTAGAAGAGAAAAATAAAATGTAACACTTTTAAAATTAGTTACTCTGTGTGAAAATGTAGGTGATATTTAATTCAAGATTGGTGTTCAACAGTCAAACAGTAAGAATTTGTTGTTCTGTCATGGACAAACTTTGGGTGTGGTAAAAAATTGGACCTTTAGATTAATTGGACTTAAAATACATATTTGGGCAACTCAAGTGGCTAGATTATATAGATACAATCTTAATTAAGTGTTTAAAAATTTGGAATCAAAGTTTATGTAACTTATCAACACATTGGACTTGAAAAGCCATACAATTTTTGCAGATATCAGCAAAATGTACTCTTACCAAGCCTACCAATCAGATGGGGGTATAGTGTGTGACAAAAACGGCGTGACCGATTATTTTTATGCCCATCTCACATTTTGCTGTTTCGCATCTCATATTTTATCAAGACCAAGTTATGGACACATTTTAAGACAATGAATTTAAGGCCAAGTCACCATTTTACAAAAAAAATAATTTTACTTGTAGATCTTATGAATTTACCAGGTGTATGTTTTTTGCAGTTGTAGAGAACCAGAGAATCCTCCAGCCATGAATGACCTTCAGTGGTTAGCCGCCACTGTTGGTGTAGGTGCCCTGTCTGCTGCTGTTTACACTGGCTGGTTCTGGTTTCTCCTGTGGCTGGCGGTGCATGCTGTCCTGGCATGCCTCGCCTTCTTCTACGCTTTACAGTGGAATCTGGTTTGTGGGAAAAACTATGTCAGCAGGTCCACCCCAGATCCCAAAGTGAAAAGTGCTGTCACGATTATTATTCAAAAAATGATGGTAGGTACATTTTGATGTTAGGGTTAGGCGTGATAATTAATTTACAACATCAAATCATTGCCACACCTGACACTTTACTTAAAAATAATTATCTTATTATAATGATTACATTTTATTAGCTTTATTAAGATTCATTTTTAAAATTTTTAATTACCACATTAATTATTAAATAAAATGAATTTGTAGAAATGCAAAAAATTTAAATAACTGTTAAAATGTTATTTGAATTGTCTTGACTAAATACTTGCTTTAGGAACTCGAGGCCAACAGAGTAGAACCCCCCAGGAAAGTTGTAATCTCCCGAAGTATAGACAACGCATTGCAGGAAGTTCTGGATCTCATAAGTCGACACTACATCTTAACTTGGTACGAGCCCCTCACTCAGGATAAAACATTTGTCAAACAAGCGCAGTAAGTAAAGAATTTTTACATTTTAAAATATTTTCATTTATGTTTTACTTAATTAAAGAACCTGTCTCTTTTTAAAAATGCAATTAAGTTTATAAAATATACTTTTATCAAGTATTTCTATCTTAACCTTGGTCTTAACTCTGGCTCTAATCAGTACCTGTACCATAATCTCAACCTTGACATAAAACATTGGTTTTGTCAAAAATTAAACAATCATACATTGCTGTAGTGCCCTACTTGTATTTTTGCAAGACCCTTATTTGTAAAACTTGGTTTGCTTTTTTTTTTCATTTTTTTTTCAAGATTTTTAGTAAGTTGTGTGTTATTTTGTACAGGGCAGAGATGTGGAGCATTCTTGACAAAGTAAGTCGGAGGTTATCTGAGGTTGATCTGGTCAGATTTTTATCCCAGGATGTGCTAGATTGTCTGCACCAACACTTTCGGAACATCAGACTAGCTAAAAGGTTACAGATTTTCTTACGTTTCATTAGCTCAGATTAGCTAAAAGGTTACAGATTTTCTTACGTTTCATTAGCTCCAACTGGATTACAGATTTTCTTACATGTTAATAGCTCCAACGGGCTAAAACAATTTCAGATTTTCTTACAGTTCATGTTCCAATTTACTTGTAGAGTTATGTACTTATTGACTTAGATTCCAGCTGGTTCACTTTTTTTGAACACGTTTTTCTTAACTCAGCTTCGCGTTTGTTAATTTGTTGTTAAAATTGACATAGAAAATTAGCCCACTTCTGATTGCTCTAGAGATCTGAAATTTGGCATGCAGGCTACTTTCGCCTAACAATTTCAGATGCAATCATAAAAACTAGCAATTAGAGACCGTAATTAGCTTAATTTAATTACGCCCCAAGGACCATAAAATTGAGGACATGATTTCTAAAGATACCGACAAGACTGGAGGCCTATTGACACAGTTACTACGGCCCCAATCGATGTGAGCGCGCTGGCCGTGATCGTATAGTGGTTAGTACTTCGCGTTGTGGCCGCAACAACCCAGGTTCGAATCCTGGTCGCTCAAGATTTTTAGTCCGTGTATTTATAAACACTTAGTCAAGTCATACTTAATCAAGTCATTAGATAAAGTAGAAAATAAACTATATAAAAAACTTTTTTAAAAACCAAGTTTTTCATGTGTAGCAACGGACTAAAAAGGAGAAAATAAAATACTTAAAAAAAACTTTTTAAAAAACCACGTTTTTCTTGTGGACTAAAAAGTAGAAAATAAATTTTTCTTTTGTGCTTCCTCGAGCTGTGCAGATTCTTGTGATGACTGACAAAAACCGTGGGTCGGGCAGATGGGTCGGGAAATTTGATGGTGAACGTACCCACGTTTTTTGTCAGTCATCACAAGAATCTGCGCAGCTCGAGGAAGCACAAAAGAAAAATTTATTTTCTACTTTTTAGTCCACAAGAAAAACTTGGTTTTTTAAAAAGTTTTTTTTAAGTATTTTATTACCAACTTCACCCTGGTTGAAGCTTCATTCATGAAATAAACTTCAAGAAAAAGGGCTGGCATGGTCTGATTGGTAATGCTCATGGTTGCTAAAACCAAAAAGTTCTGAGGCTTGATAGCTGGGGACAGCATCCAATTTAGGAAAGAAAAATTTAAAATCTTACAACTGTTGCTTTGTAGTTTGTTCTTGACAAAGGCTATGTAAGAAAATCCAAAAAAAAGAGTCAACTGCCTATAAGGCGCATAGCTGGTTGACACGTAATACATGAATTGTATTGGAAAAAATCTAGTGCAACATTACAATTAAGAACGAAGAAGAAGTAAAAAAATTAAAGATAAGAAAATCTTGATAATTAAAACACATTTTTCTCTTTGTTTCGTTTGTCACGAAAGTATCAAGTTTTATAAATTTTTTTATTAAAAAAATTATACTTTTTGAATAATTTAGAAGTAAAGAAACAAGTAGTGATAAATCAGAGGAAGAACATAAGAAGTTCATGTTCCATTCATGGCTGAAGGACAAAGAACAGGAACTGAAATGCCTGCGAGAGATGTCTGATGCGTTGTTGTTTCTGCTACTGTCCAAGTCCTATGGCCACTGCGCACCCATCAGATACCTGTTGAGAGAAATTGTTGCTGGCTCAGGTAGGCTAACACTAAACATTCCAACTTCACCATTTAAGCTTTTGTTTTGTGATGGGAGGATTATGAAACACAGGGTTTCTAACCCCAAAGTCTCAAGTTTGTTGAGGGTCAAAAGTCCCTGAGTCTGCTCAGCTTTAATAAGTACCTGACTTACCTCAGAATAGGTAAAGATGACAAGTCATTGTGCTGGATACACCAACGCAGATTAATTCTGCTTCATCTGCCCTAAGGACCTTCAGTTCTAATAAAGTACTTTGCTTCAACGAATATGAACACACAATTATCCAAAAATTGTTTTAACTTAAAAAATTATTTTAGCTAAAAAAATTATTTTAACTCAACAAATTGTTTTAGCTGAATAAAAAATTTATTTTACTCAAAAAAATTGTTTCAACTCTAAACACGGTTTCAACTCTAAACATTGTTCAACTAAAAAAAATAATTGTTTTAACTAAAATGTGTTTGACCTGACCACCCTAGTTTTGAAGCCAACCATAGACCTGATCTGTGACCCAGACTACATCAATCAGAAGCTGCTCAGTTACTTGACGTACAGAGAAAATTATTTCAAAGACACCAAACGGACGTACACATATTCCGCCACGTACGAGGGCTTTGTTAAGATGATCAAGTCTACTGATTCTTTGGATGATCTTTCACAAATGCGGTCAGTTTCCTAAAAATTAGTAGTATATTTTTTTTTGCTGATTACTTATTTTATTACATTGTTATATATGTTTATAGATTTAGAAAAATAAAAAATAACTTTTAGGTGTTGATTTTTGAAAACCATGTACAAGTGGTCAAAGGTTGAATTTAAGCATCACCACTTCAAATGTATCTTATGGAATTTAGTATGACCATTTTTGTTATTTTGTTACCCTTAGAAACAACATCATCTCAGAGTTGCTTCAAGCCTCTGCCATCAACATGTTGAAGAAACAACAGGGACTCAACACAGGTTCTATTATACTTGCTGCTTGTTTATTTATTTTTTTGACTGTTAAGGGTTAATTTTAAGCATGTTCAGTAAGGGGTGGGTGTGGTCGAGTCAGTAAAGCTCATGGTTGCTAAGCCAAAAGGTCTTGAGTTCGAACCCTCGGGCAGATAAGGCTCATCAGCTGGAAACAGCCACTCTCCTGGGAGAGACAACTCCAAAATCTAACAACTGCTGCCTTGTAGTTTGTTCTTGGTTGGACAAAGGCTATGGAAGCAAATCCAAAAAGAAAAACAGGCTGAAATCGGAATCAATGGCCTCAATGGCGCATAACCAGTTGACACGTATACTTAATTGTGTTGGAGGGGATCCCTTCCAACACTAAAAAAAATTAAGAACAAAGAAGAAGAACATGTTCTTAATGTTTTACAAGTTCAGTCTGTCGCTGTGCGATGGTGTGGCTATGTGCTGGAGCTACCATAAATTCCTTGGAGTCATCCATCTCTGTTGGGTACCTGACTCAAGTCAGGGAAAGTTGTGGCTGGGCATAACGCTGATCATACTATTTTTTGTGTGGTTGGACATAGTACTGTCCACACAATTTCTTCTTGTGGCTGGGAAAATTGCTGACCACACAATTTCTTCATGTGGCCGGGCATAGTGCCCACCACACAGTTCCCGCATATGCAGAGAACATCATAAACCATCATTTGTGCAGGGTACTTATCTTATATTCATGCCATGTAACTGTATTCTTATAATCAGTTTTTATTCTATGACAGATAAGGACACAGCACCAAAGGGCACCAACAAAGGAGAACTCCTCAAAGCGAGAAATTTAGAACGCTATAAAAACCAAGTAAGTGCAGTGGCATCTCTAGATTGAGTGTCAACTAATGCAGTAACTGATGATGTCACTCTCCCACCCCCAGCGAAAAGTTTATATAAACATATATATATATATATATATATATATATATATATATATATGATGTTTATTGTTAGATATAGTTAGATATAGATATATATAATATTTATACATGTGTATTTATATATATTTAAATATATATATTATATACACATGTATCTTGATACATTTTTTTAATATATTTAAAAATTTAAGGCTAGACATTTTTGTGCTGAGTTCAAATGTGACCAAAGAGATTTATCCGACTATTGAATCCGCTGGAAGCTCTTATCCTTTATCAGGAAATTACCATGCATACATTGACTATGAAAATAGGTTTAAAAAACTAAATGAAGGTAAAAAAAACTACGGAGGAAGTTAAAATAAATGCAGTTGGGTAATGGCTCAGTTTTGATGTACACATTATGAATCTAACACTCGATTATTTAAAATACACCATGCATGTAGATATTGGAAGCAAATGTACAGCAAATGGCACTGATTTATAAAGCATGTTGAATCACACAGTCACATCTTATGTTTTTATTTATCATTTTTTTAATAAACATTTACGTTTCTTGCTTTTTTAATTTATTTTATTTACTTTAATATAAGTAATATAACAACAGTAATACCTTAATTGATTTCTTCAGCAAGTTAATTATAAAAAAATATAGCCCTTGTTTGTTTCGGAAATATTCTGATTGCAAATACGACCCTAAACATAGTATCAATCATTTATCATTGGTAGATTGTTCATTTAATATTTCCATTCACAGCTTACAGTTGCCAAACAGTTGTGTGAAAAGAGAATCACCTCCCTTGGGGGTACCATATATGAATCTTCATCCGATGCATCCAATAAAAATGAGGATCTCCCTGGACAAAAAGTAGGAACTAAACTTTTTTTTTACTGGTGGGGCAAAACTTACAGCCTCCCACCTTTCCTATTCTTTCAGTTATTAAAGCAATAGAGTTAGTTCCATGACTAACTGGCAACCCATTCTCTGGAAAAATGTAGTTTCAAATTTTCTTTGCCAGATTTTTTCCTTCGCTGTCATTATGGAAGTCCCAAGGCTCCGAGAATGTTTCTTGAAGTTTTTAAAGAAAGAAGGAGCAGAATCATACTTAGGGTATGGACAACTGGTACTGTCAGAGGTCGCAGTTTGAATGTTGGGGGGTGGGGGGGGGGGGGCACTTTATCTTTAATAATAATTTTTTTCTTACTTTTCTTTATGTATTTAAATTATTTACTACTACTTAGACCTACTGTATTTTATTACTATCATAGCAGCAGCTTAATAAACAATGAGTTACCAAGTCTTAACTGTCCATTAACATTGAAATACTTAAGAATAACTTTGTTGTTTTTTCTATTTAAGACCTGTAGGGGTTATACATAAACGACGTCAAACTTTATAAAATTATTTTTACCTACTTCTATCGTCACATCTAAGCTCATTTCCCCCTTTAAAATTGCAATTTAGTTGATTAAAACTTTGAAATATAGATTGTACAGATAAGTTTTTATTGAAATGTTTTTAAAAAGTGAAATAATGGCTAATACAATGTTTTATCATAACCTTTTGAAATGGAAACGCATGTAGTAACATAATTCTGTATTTATTTCATTCACAGTTTTTGGAATGCTGTTGAAAAATTAAAATCGACTTCAAAAGTAAGGTTTAGAAATTATTTTTTTCTATTTTCTTACTGTGTCCTTTATTGTTTGTTTACAAAAAAGTGAGCTGAACTATTGTGTCTCCAGGAGCAACACCATCATGTAGGGACAGAAGTCTACCAGCAGTACATTACAAGTAGCTCTTCACTAGTGAAGGTTGACAAAGCTATTCTAAAGGGCATGGAAGAATTTTTAAGAGGAGATAAAGCAAGTTTTTTTTTAACTTTGGTATTTTACTATTTAGTGCAGCTTCTAGTATTAAAAAATCATTTTATTGTTTATATAAAAGTATTTTTTAGTATTGGTTGATAATAGGTAAAACTTTAGAAATGTTCAAACAAATGACAATTTTTATCTATTGATTACCATTTCATTTTTATTTTATACTTTTAGGGACCAGATGCATTTGTAACAGCACAAAAACAAATTCAAAATTTACTGGAGGAGCAGTATTACCCATCTTTTATAGTCAGTGATACGTATTTTCTTTTGTCATCTAACATACAAGATACGCTCTCCTCCTGTGAGGAATCTGTTGCACAAGGTACGTATTGTCTTACGTACTTGAACTTTCATATGTAGAAACATAATTATGTCAACAGATGAACTATTCATGAACTAATTGTTTAAGTCAACAGATGAACTATTCCTGAACTAATTATTTAGTTTATGTCAACAGATGAACTATTCCTTGACTCTGACCAGTACAGCGAGCTGGAAGAGAACCTAATCGCTGGCCAGTCCTACCACGCCCAGCAGCGCCTGCGTGAACTGGACGTTAAGATAACCAGTAAAGCCAGGGCGCTGGTGGCCCAACGAAATTCACATAAAGATATCGGATCTAAGGTCATTTTTTACTGCATTGTTTTGGCTTGTGGGTCTGTAAGATGTGGCCTAATAGAATGCCTTTGTGACATAACCTGCTCTTGACCTTAACTAAAACTACCCTTGCTTCATTTGCAACAGGGATAAAATATGTGTAGATGCAGTCAAAAATTTTCTTTAATTCTTTTTATTTTACTCAAATTTTGGAATTGTTTTATTATAAATTACAGGTTTATCAAAATTTGTACCTATATTATTAACAACGAGCCGACCCGCTGCATATCATATGCCGCTATTTAGTTGTTTTATTTTCTACTTTTCAGTAATTCATAATTTTTTAATTCGACGGCACCAATGCTGCCACTGAAAATATTTGCTTTAAAACACTATCAGTAGGTCGTTAAGGACGATAACAACAATAACCCCCCCCCCCCCACCCTCCTCTCCCCTAACCCCTACCATACACCCCCCCCCCTCCTGTAAAAGCAGCCTTCTCTTAGTTACCTCCCCTAAGTTTAAAATCATTTCAAACTAAATTATCTGCCCCTAATAGCCATCACTTAACCTGACTCTGCGATTGTAAACATTTAGCGTCAACCACAGCTCACCAGACCATGTGGGGGTGGGGGTAGTAGGGATATGCCTAGAGAGGAAGAGAGGGGGCTGCTAGGTGCGCTTACAGCTTGGTGTTTTCTATGGTCTCCATGAAGAGAATTATATATGTAGATTTCCAGTTCTTTTATAATTTTATTATAATTTACCAAATTGGTATTATTATTTACTTATGTTTTTGTTGTTTTTTTATTTTTGGGTAAAATGATTGTAACAATGGAAGTATTTGGTTAAAAAAACTTATTGTTCTTTTTATTAAAATATTGTTTCATGTTGTAAAATAAAAAAGCTTTAGTTGAATGGTGTCAAGGTTGACAAAAAATAATTGTCTTTTTTAGCTAAATGAGGTCAAAGTTGACACAAAAAAACTTATCTATGCTGTAGCTGAATAGAGTCAAGGTTGACAAAAAATACTTGTCTATTTTTAGCTGAAGAAGGTCCATGAAGACATGGAGCAGGAGCTGGAGAACCTGAAGGTAGAGAGGAGGACACTGGAGATGCACATAGCCCGTACACAGAAGTGGATTGACAACATTGGCCACTGGACAGCGCATGTGTATGACGCAGCTGTAAGTTCAATGGCTGATTCCATTTTTTCATGTACTGGGATGGGGGTGGTAGACTGGACAGCTCATGCTGCTGTAAGTTCAATGGGTGATTCCATTTTTCATGTACTGGGATGGGGGTGGTAGACTGGACAGCGCATGTGTATGACGCAGCTGTAAGTTTAATGGCTGATTCCATTTCTCATGTACTGTATACTGGGATGGGGGTGGTAGACTGGACAGCTCATGTGTATGATGCAGTTGTAAGTTTAATGGGTGATTCCATTTTTCATGCACCATTACAGAAGTGGGGGTGGTAGACTGGACAGCTTATGCTGCTGTAAGTTCAATTGGTGATTCTATTTTTCATGTACTGTAATCTGGGATTGGGTGGGAGGTAGAATCTTTTGGTATACTGATCTTTTGGTATACAGATCTTTTGCTTGAGCTTTTGGGGTTTGATATGGCTTCTTTCACTCTATTGGGTTTTCTCTGATCTAGTGTTTGTACAACATCATTTGATTCTTGATACTATTAGATCATGAGATTCTGACTACCCAGACCTGCAAAAATGTGTGTTGATTGCAGATTGTGACAACAAAAAAATGTGTTTAAACTTGCAGATAATGACAACAAAAAATGTTTAAACTTGCAGATAGTGACAACAAAAAAATGTTTAAACTTGCAGATTGTGACAACCGATGATGGCAAGGTGCCCCACTTCACCCTGTTGGTGTCTCTGTCCTCTGATGACCAGAGCAGCCCCCATGAAGTGAGTTCTGCCAGTGAGGGCTGGGCCATCTCTAGGACACTAGAGGAGATCTACGCCCTGCATGATAAACTTTCTCTGGTCAGTTCTGGTTCAGCTGGTCACATCAGTCCTCATAGACAGTAGATTTTTATCTTATTATTATCATTTATATTTTATTATGAAATACAACTTTATTGTGAAGTGTATTTTTTTTTAGTTTTAGAACACAAATAAAAATAATCCAATTTCAGCACTTTTTAAAATTGCAGTATCTGATCTGACATTGTTAACTGAACTCCAGTTGCTCTCTGGATACTTACAATTTTGTTTTTTTTACTGTGGTTTGACAATTTATTACTGTAGCATGAATTTTTTTTATACCGTGGTGTGACAATTTTTTACTTTGGTGTAAACATTTTTTACTGTAGTGTAAATAATTTTGCTATGGTGTAAAAATTATTTTTTTTTTACTGTGATTTGACAATTTTTTAACATGATGTGATAGTTCTTTTACTGTGGTGCAACAATTTTTTTTACTGTGGTGTGAAAAATTTTTAAGGGGTGTGTAGTCTAAATCCTGCCTGTTTTCTGTCTAGATTGGCAGCTGGCTACTGAAGAAAGAACTACCATCAACCAACAAACTCTTTAGATCACTGGACAGCTCCTACATACAGAAAGCAAAAACAACGCTGGACAATTACCTGGCTGTAAGTTCGTACTGGTTACTTCAGTAATTACGGCTAGTACTGGTTACTTTAGTAATAATTTGTTGGTACTGGTTACTTCAGTAATTACTCATTGGTACTGGTTACTTATGATGCCATGGTTGGATGCTTACCTGAAAGTTTTGAGTTTGGATACTTGAGTTCACTCAGCCCTTATTGGTACCTGACTCATATTAGGGAAAGTAAAGGCACCTGCCCATAGTGCTGACCACACAATCCATCCCTTCATGTCGAGGTCATAGAAACAGGTGAACTCTGAATTATTGACCTCTAGTTCCTAAAGGTTAATTTTTTTTTAACTTGACTCTTTCTCCCCTACTTGCAGCTAAATAAATATCTGATTTAAATCAACCGGCTACAGGACATTCCCCCCTGTCAACCGGCTACAGGACATTCCCCCCTGTCAATACCCCCTCCCCTGGGGAATTCCCCCCCCCCTGGGGAACTCCCCCCCCCCCCCCCCTTAAACCTAGCCTTAAACCTAGCCCTAATCCTAGTGCTAACCCTAGACCTAGACCAAACTCAAACCCTAGCTGAACCTTAAGCTATGACTGAGGGGGTGGGGGGGGGGGGGAATGTCCTACTAGTCGGGGGGGGGGGGGGGTAATTGATGGGGTAATTACCCCAGGGGGGGGGGTGCCCTGTTCCCAGATTGACCAGACTAACTGTTACAGGCCATCATGAAGGATGAGAATATGGTCCATAGTGAGGCTCTCTATACCTTCCTCTCCCCTACTGGCAGCTAAATTAATATCTGATTTAAATTGACCACACTAACTGTTACAGGCCATCATGAAGGATGAGAAGATGGTCCATAGTGAGGCTCTCTATGCCTTCCTCTCCCCTACACCTGAATTTGTTCACCAGTCAGTGGAAAAGAAGAGCAGATTTTCTTTAGGGAATCTACTTCGCAGGTAACTTCTGAAAGTTAACCAACGTCCTTATTTAACTTTTGGCAACTTTTTCAAAGTAAGCTCCAGAATTTTAAGATGTGATTTTTTTTTAAGGGGAGATAAAGCATATTGTTTGAAAAATTTCATTTTGTGATTGATTTTCCAGTCTGCCAAATATTGGGTCTGATACGCAGGAGGGAGAGGATGATTTCATGTTCAGTGGTGATGACAAGTAAGTCTGTTGATGTTGACATTTAGTTTAGTGTTGACATTTGGTTTAGTGATGACAAGTTGACATTTGTTTTAGTGATGTCAAGTTGACCATTGGTTTAGTGTTGTCAAGTTGACATTTGGTTTAGTAATGACAAGTTGACATTTGGTTTAGTGATGACAATTGAGATTTGGTTTACTAGTGCCAACATCTTCTAATCTACATTTTCTGTTCAGTTGAAGCTGGTAATTTTCTTATTAATGTTTTTTCTTGTTCCTGCTCAGCACTGAGAAAGATAAAAGCACAGACTCCATTGCCAAGCCTTTGTACACCTTGGTCGGGGAGGTGTTTGAGCTACAGGGGATGTTCCTTTTTCGTTGGTTTAGGAAAGGTCTGATGAGCTTTGTGGAGATGACTTTTGGGAGATCCATTGACAAGTAAGGGGGATGTACAATTTTAGTGTAGAGGAATGTGGCATTGTCTAAGTTAATGGGGGGGGGGGGGGGGGGCTGGGAATAAGTTACATACATCTGTGTGTTTGAAGGGAAATGAAAGGCCTTTACAAGACATGGTTAAATACACTATGATGTGGTTTTATGCTTAAGGTAGGGTAACATTTAAAAAATTTGATTTCATGTACCGATTGGGAGATAATTGTACAGCTTTGTAGTCTCAAGGTGAAAACCATCTCACTTGAGAGTTCAATAGCCCAATCTTATATTAGCAAAGTCACCAGTGAAAATGTCAGCAGTGTTTACCTAATGCTTTTCTATCACTAGTATCCCCTAACCATAGTCCTTGATCTAATCCTGACCCTAACAACTAAACTGGCGGGATAAAATTTGTATATAACATATTGTGCAACCAGCTTTTTACACCAATCTTTAAAAAAAACGATGATTGCCAAACTAAAGATTTGAACCCCAGGCAACTGAAGGAGACAGTGGAGTGGCTGGTGAGTGAGCAGATGTTGATCTACTACATCCAGCTGTTGAAGGACTCCATGTGGCCAGACGGGAAGATGGCGGAGCCGCAGCCACCACAAACTGAAGAACAGAAACACTTTAATCGCATGCTGGCTAAAAAAAAACTTTTGGAGGGCATGCCAGGTCTGGGGAACCCTCTTTATTAGTTAGATTTTACTTCTTTATATTTTTCGTTAAATTTTATTACTTTTATTTGTCTTTAAATTTAATTACTTAAACTATTCTTCATTTATTTTTTATTTACTAATTTATTTATTTTTTAAATCTGAGTTTCATAATAATAATAATAACAGATATAGTTTTATGTTTCTAAAGTGTTATCAAATATTTTAAACATTAACCAAATTTTGCCCTTATAAGTTATGCATTTATGACATTTATTTTTGTTTCAAAATAACAGAATATTGCGTCATCATTCAAAAATATAACTGTTTTTTATGTATTTTTGTAAAACTTCACTTCCCTCACAGACATTTACTTAAGAGTATCATTTGTAAAATCTACATAGTATTTTACGCCTGGATGTGTTCAAATAATCTATAATAATAGTTTCGCTGTCTATCTATGTATCTATCTATCTGTCTGACAAGAACGCTCTAGAGCAAACACAAGCAATTTAAAAACTTTCACAGTGAAACGAAAACGAAATATGACGTCACATTTAGCATATAGTAGAAAATAATATCAAGCCGGAGAGTGCACACAGTAATATGACGTCATTGATTCTCGAGTAAACATTGAATAAAAAGGCAATTTTGTCTAATCTAAGTGGTTTGCGTGAAGAGTTTCTTTCATACAATTCTTCGGGTAGGGGCGAAGCCCCACCCTCGCGAAAGAACGTCTAAGCCGCCCCCAAATAAAAATTACCGCCTAATTAATGTGTCTAATCTAAAAAGTGGTTTGCTTGCAGTTTCTTTCATGCAATTCTTCGGTTTGTGGCTAAGCGCGACACCAGTGTTTCTTTCAGACTTTTTCCTCCCCGGAGGGGGGAACTTTTTCTAATCTAAAAAGTGTTTAGCGTGCTGTTTCTTTCATGCATCTCTTCCGGTAGGGGCAAAGCCCCACCCAGGTTCTTCCTTTAGTTTGTATGATCTACAAATGCGACCATTGTTTCTTTCAGACTTTTTCCTCCCCGTCGAGGGGTGGGGGTACTTGAATTTTTTGGGGGGCAGGGGTAGAATTTTCTGGGAGGGGGCGGACACTGGAAAAAGTATATAATTATATTTCGTTGAATGGGACGGTAGACATGTTTTGGGTGTGTGTATGGGGGGGAGGGGGGGGGGGTTGGTTTTAGTTTAGAGAAAATAGACAGCACTATCAACCTAGCGCCTGTTGTATCCTTCCTCAACGGGCCATTTTTCTCGTATTTAATATGCTTGCAATTTTTCTATGATCCTTAAAGGGTTAGACACCATCCAGACATTGGTCGGTGATGAGAATGGGCGCAGAGGGATAATTAAAATATTTGAAGCTTTACAGGACAAAAACCTCAACAAACACCTGCTTTATGTAAGTTGGTTTGTCTTGTGTAGCACAGGAGTTAATGGGTTAATGCGGTGATAATTAAAATATAAATAGAAAACTTTTTAAAACTCTAATGTTGTACAGATTGGCATGTAGATATTTTTTTAAACTGCTATTAAAAGGCAACACTTACATATGAGCGTTTTTAAATTCATAGTAAAAATTGCATAGTAAAGATGCTGTATGTTTAGTAGGTGTTGCTAAAGTTATTTTTTAAAGTAAATAGGCTAGAAGTTTGACAGAATACAATTTTTTTGTATTCCAGTTATCTCATGGTAAAAATTGGTTTAAATATGGGATTTTTGCCATATTTTAATAGCTTTAAATAACAAGAAAATGTCTAAGTCTAGTGGAACTGTTTTGCTCATATTTTTCAATTTGTGCTGTTGCAGAATCTCCTGGAGATTTTTCTCTTGGAACTTTTGCCAGAGCTGCGGAAGGCCAAGGAGAAAGTTCTGCTCCAGCACAGAGTGCAGCAACAGGAGGAGTCTGTACGTCTGCAGCAGCAGCTGGCAGTGGAGGAGGAGACTGATTTATAGGTCAAGGTCAAAGGTGGGAAACATATTTATAGGTCAAGGTTAAGGGCAAGTCCCTACTTCTGCACCTGCAGCTCCTAGTGGAGGAGGAAACATTTTGAGGTCAAGGGTGGGAAACATTTATAGGTCAAGGGCAAGTCTGGTAGTGTAGGAAGAAAAAGACTTGTAGGTCAAGGGCAAGTCTGCACCAGCAGTGGAGGAGGAAATGGATTTATAGGTCAAGGGCAAGTCTCCATGTCTGCAGCGGATAGCTGTGAAGGAAACAGATTTTTTAGCCTAGGTCAAGGCCAACATCTAGTCACACAGCCAGGCACACATCAAGTATTTCTAATGTGCTCTAGTCAGTTTAAAAAAAATATCTTACAAAAGTATTAATTGCTGATGAGTTATGTCCCTTTGGATTGGTCTCAACTATTTATAGCAGCTTGTAGATTATTTTTAGAATCTATTTCTGTGATGTTTGAATGATGTTTGTATTAGATACCAAGTGTTCTATAACAAATTTTAAACCTTCATTTTTAATTTATTCAAATTTCCGTTATTACAAAACAATATTACAAATTTTTTTAAAGTAAATGAACATTTATACATTAGAGAATGTATTTCTTAAATGTGCAATTACAAATTGACAGTATGTACACATTTATAAATTGTTTCCTTGTAATTTGTTTTTCTGATGGAGAAATTTGGTTAACATGGGTCACTCATTACTCGATATTGTCATATCATGTGAAGTTTTTCAATACATTCACCATGGTCTGTGTCACCAGTTTGTTTTATCAGCTGTTAAATATTTTTTTTACCCAGAAAATCAATCTTAGATAAGCCTGAACTCCACTCCATTTAATTTTAGACATATCTTTTCTTTAAAATTATTATTTTTGACTATCTGAGAATTTTTTTTATCTGGCTGGTTTTTTTTTTTTTACTGCTGCCCTGTACTTAACTAGTGATATAAACATAAGACTAAACATTTTGAAGAAAAAAAAATAATGAGTTTAGCTTAACCATATAATCTGGGATTTATTCATTCAGATTTAAATTTCCAAAACTGCTCATTTCTATAGTGTTAAAAATTACATCTAAAAATAATTTACATAATTTACATTTATTACAGCTAAAGTCAATGATCAATATTTATATTTAATTCAACATGACATGACAAGAGGTTTTTTTTTAAATGACGACTATGTGATGTATTTATTGGAGGTTTTGATTATTCCAGTACCATAAGAATCTTGTACAACATGTATTGTCGCTCAACTTTTTTTTAATAATATCCATGACTGCACAAACAGAAACCAGAGTTGGAATTTTCATTTTCAAAACATTTTGGTCAAATTCTTCAGTGAGATATTGTTGATAAATATTTTTAAAACTTTGAATTTTGTAACAACAGCAGCTTAAATTTATTGTGATGTATAATTTTAACAAATTTTTGTGACAATAAATGTAGAACACATGAAGTTTTAAGTGGCTTTTAAAAAAAAAGATATTGTTAAAAGATATATTCTATAAATTATTTCTACTTAAATATTCAGATAGTTTATGTGGAAACTAAAAGACTAGTTTTATAATAACTGAAAGTCCATGTTACGATAATTTTAATTGAGAACTAGAAGTACATTGTTTAGATAAACTAATATTTCCAACTGATATACAGTCCTGTGATATAGGCCAAACAAAAGTAGATTACTTTACTGTATATAGATTCTGTAGAGAGTTCACTTTTTAAAAAACTATAATTTGATGTATTTAAATTATTGAAATGTGGAGTAGATGTACTTAATAATTGGATGATTTAAATGAGTTATCCCCCTTGTCAGTGGCTCAAATCTATTTGTGACTAAAGCAAAGGAACATATTTTAAATTATTTTTATAGAGGGGACATTTGATCAATGCCAAAAAAAATTTAAACTTTTTATTTAGCTCGTTACAAATTTTAAATTAATGGATTTGTATCGATCTTTTTTCAGTATTAAAGGAATCTTCACTGACCGTCATTAAAATATTTAATTTTGATCTATGATATACAGATATGGAAAAAATAATTATATTTACCAGTTTTAATATAGCCCTAAGAGTATTATCTGTTTGATTGATATTTTCATCTATACTATATTTTAGATAAATAATCTTGAACAAAAATGGCTTTTATTAAAGAATTTGATTTTTTTTAATTTAGACTAATATAATGAACAAACAAATATTGATTTTCAAACAATTATAAAACAATTTAATTCAAATTCTTTAAAATATTCTTCATATAAATATTTTTGGCAAAACAAGTGACTATACTATTGGCAAAGTGTATCAGTTGTTAAGATGAATTTTATAGCTGCTATTAATACAAATGTGTATATTATTACATATGTAAAGCTGTAAGCAACCACAGAAATAACTAAAATTAAATTATAGAATCTAATTTTAAAATGAACACAAAAAAACAACTGTAATTAAATTAGTAGAGGTTTTTCTGTAGATTTCTTTCAACCTATTAGTTCATTTTCAACTTGTTAAACATGTTAAACCCCTGACACTGTTGGTCATAAACATAATAGAGTGGATGTTTTATGTACACTTTTTAGTTAACCCCCCTCACTTTGATGCCATGTTTATCATTGTATTTCACTTGGGTTTTTTTTCATGTGGTCTCCCTTAGATAATTTTACTTCCCATTCACCCCACCTTCTAATTTTATTGTTGACTTTTTTTTTCATTTTGTTATTTAAACTGAGAAAAACCTCAAGTTGATTATAAGTACCAGATCAGAAAATTCCAGTATGTTTGAGAAAATAGTAGGTCAACACGTTAAACACATAAAATATGTGAGTAGATGAATGTGCACATGTGAAATGTGTAAGTAATAGATGAGTAGATGTAAGCACAAAGTAAAGTTTGTACAAGATAAAAAGCAAGCATCTGCATTGAGAAACGATATTATTCACTTGATTTTTTTTTAGTGATTTGAATAATTTTTATAAAATAGAATTCCACTCAAACTCAAACCTGTTTAGTTCATACGTTTTAATTGTTTTTGTCCTTCCAGTTACAACCTAAAGGTGATTTAATAAAACTGGCCTACAAATGCTAAATGCCAAAAATTTAATTTTTTTTATTTAAAACAGCATGATATCATTTGAATTATGGGTGAATTTTATAAACGAGCATTGAAACGTGACTTAACGTGGAATATTTATATCTCATTATATTAATGCAGATATTTTTTTTAATTAGTATGTAACATTCCATTATTTTTTAGTACTTTAGTAGCTAACATTTTTTTTTACTTATTTCAAACAATGCTCATTGTTTTCTCCTATTTTATTGTTTTGGTTAATAAAAAGTTTGACCAACCAGACATGTGAAATGGGCCTATTAATTCATTACATCTTTCTGTATTTTCTTAATGTGTTTTTTAAGTTAAAAGTTTGTTTTAAATTCATGATTAATGAAATGTTTTTAAAATAATTTTGTTTTGTTTTTCTTAAATGTTTTTAATTAAGTTTAATCTATTAATTTTTATGCAAAATTAATATTATTTTACAAACGTATTAATTGTATAGTATATTGATAGTATATTTATTAACTAATAGCTTTCTAAACACCCACTGTTCCAAATGAAGAAATGATATTAAAATTAATTATCCTATTTTATGTTTATATAAACCTACCCTAAAACATTGAAAGCTGGTTTAATCAGTTAAATTGGGTGAGCTCAGGTTTTGGCCTTTCTTGCTGTGCCATGTAACATTGTTCACTTAAATTGTTATCAGACATGCCATATTGCATTTCTTTTTGTTTACGTGTTGCAATATTTCTATAATTACAAATAATTTAATTCATTTACAATTTTTTCCTTTGATTTTATCTTGCATAATTCATCACATATAAATAGTTAAGTTTAAATAACTTGAAATGAAAACATTTTGACATTATTTTTTTTCCAAATATTTATACACATTCAAATCATGACAAAAGGCTATTTGATTTTATTTTTATGGAATCAACCTAGCCAGTCATGCGATATTTTCTTAGCATTCCTGTTCTTTTTTATTCAGCTGTCAAATTTTCAAATTTAATTTGTTTAACAATTTGAACTGCTACTTAATTACATCACATACATGTGTTCAATGGAGCTGGAGTTCAAACGAGATAAGTTTTTTACTCATTTGCCCATGAAATATTTTCATTTATTTAATTATTTATTAATATTATAATTTTGTTTTTCTTTTCTATCTAAATCCCATCTTTTTTTTTAAATATTAGTTTTCTGTTTTTTATCAATTCTACTATTGCCAAAATCCAATTTAGAATTTTCTGTTGAGAATTATACTGTTGTTATTAGAGATACCCAATTTGTTTTTTTTCACACTTGTATATGTGTTTAGCTTAAAAGTGTGTCCATGACTTAAATGAACATGCTAACTGCTAAGGCGTACTTATTTTCAAAATAAATAAACTTTAAAACAAACATGGTTTGTCTAGTTTGTAATTATGACAATATACACATGACTAAAGTAGTCAAAAAGAGAATGTCTGCAAATTATGTAGTAGTTTTTTCAGGAGGCGAGGGGGATGTGTTTGTCAGTGAGTACAACACACTGTGACTTATATACTATAGGTCTAACACATTTCTCAAAACACCTAATGTAGGTCTAAGGCAGTCTAAGGGCCAGTATGGACAATTGATAACGTGTTTGACTGCTAACTCAACAGTCTTGAGTTCAAATCCTGGGCTAGAGTCTGTACGACTCACATGATAAAAGGGAATTTGAAAGTAAAGGTGGCTGGCCATAGTGCTGATCATACTATCCCTTCATAATCATATGCTGAGGTCACTGAAACATGTGAGCTCTAGTCACCTGCCTTGTGGACCAAAAGGATACTTTACTTCTATGTGGGTCTTATATTTTATTATTTAGCACAGCCTCTGATGTGAGTCTGATTTTTAGCACAAAAGTCTCAAAAGTGACAATCAAATCATTTTTCATTGGGTCTGACATTTAACACCCTATTATGATCTCCCTTAACTCTTAACTACTATTACATTGAAGTTTAAATACAGCTTGAGTTAAACAGAATGAAGACACACAAAAACACTTGTTTCAAAATGTATTCAAATTTGTTTAATAAGGCAGGAGGGAGTTTTAGTTTTATAGTAAACATGAAGATCTCTCAGCAGAAACAACATGAAGGTTAGACTAACTAACAAAAACTTAATTAACCTTAACAGCTTACAATTTGTCCTGCTGAGATATCTTTAATACAAACATCTGACTATAGATTTAGACATTTAGAATCTAGATCATTTGAAAAAAAGTATGTGTATGTTTGTGTAATCATGAAAGAAAACTTTAATTAGGCTTACTGAAAGAAATGTTATTTAATAATTTATGTTCAATATAATTATACATATAATATATTATGTTTTTAAAAAAAAAACTGTTTTGTCCATTCTGGAAAACTTATCTAAAAATCAATTTTATATTTTATTAATTTTATATTTTATTCTTAAAGAAACATTCTTTATAAATAGGTCAAATGAATTTTTAAATCAATATTAAAATATTTCACAGCAAGAGCAAATAGATCTAAAAAAAAATGTTAAAATAATTAATATTAGGTTAATTATTAGTATTTATTAGCCTAGAACATACATAATATTAATAAAACATATTTATACAGTGCAATTTGAAGTAAAAAATGAGTATAAAAAGAAATGCATTGATATTTTTAAAGATGTTTTAAAACAAAGTCTTTACTGTTTTTTTATCGAATGTTTCTCGATGAAAAATATGGTTTAGAAAATAGTTTGGCTTATTTTTAGCTTTAGTAATTTGTTCCCGTAGTTTATCATCTAAATTCTGCATGTTCCCAGTCTTGTTTTTGAAGATCCAGCTTTACAGTCCCTGTTTTTAATTTGTCCATCAGAACTGAGTTAGGCCTATTATTAGTTTTCTAGTAGAATATACCTGTAAACAAAATGAATTGGACTATTTCACTTTCGGTTTAAGCATGGTAAGATTAGGGGTATCTTAATTCAAAATATAGATTGTATAATAAATAACCATCTAGCACAATAGGTTTAGTAACATATAAGAATTTATTTATAGACAGATATATGTTTTCATGAAAATAATGAGATATCAGATCTTGTCCAGATAAGCCCACATAAAAAAAAGTAATCGCCGCTAGAAATCTAGATCTACCCAAATAATAAAGATTTAATAAAAGAGGATATGAAATCCTATTGGGGCATGTCAGTGGCGTAGCGAGATCGGGTGTAACCCGGTGCGCCCCCCACACACCCCCTCTCGCTACGCCACTGGGGCATGTTATGTGAATAATTTGCATGAAAAGGTTTGTATTTGTGGTATCTGTCAGTGTTTCTACCAGGCACATCTTTTAGCCCCCCCCCCCCCATGTCACCCTTCTAGGAAAATGGGTTTTTTCGAAGATGTATGGAGAGAAAGATGAGGAAGAGAGTTTTAAAAAGTGTGACGTCACACTTTTAAAAGTTTCATTACGTAATATTAGACTTTTGGTCATTATTTCGTATTTTCAAAACTTTTTTTTGATTGGTTGGTAAGCTGAGGTGTGAATTCATTTAGAAGGAGGGTATGATTTTTTGTGACGATGTGTGAAGATAATGTGGATTGAAAAGGGGGGGGGGTGTAAAAACGTGATGTTGTTTATGAATGAACCCTAATTAAAACGACTTACTAGCAAAACATCCCGTCATGCAGTTGGCTATGTTGCCGGCGATGAGTGCAGATAGTGCAATCTTTGATATCCAGACTTTCCTCTGGGGCAGGAGCGTGTACATAATGCCGATGATGATGGCCACGGTGAAACAACTAGAGAACCCACACAGGCAGTAGGTTATAATCGCCTCTGATCGTTTCTGTTACAGGGAGATAATCAGTTCATAAAAGTGCAATACTAGAGAAAAAGAAAAGCAACGGTTATAGTATCCGTGACAACATAATTATTGGTATATTAATTTTAATCTTCAAATAATTCATTTATGACTCATCGGGTAAGGGGTCATTCATAAACGACGTCACACTTCTAGCGGTTGAAGGGGATCGAGATTTTACGACGAGGGTGTTCAGAAAATGACGCCACATTTTTGCATTTTAAAAAGTTACGCCAGAAACTGGATTTTGGCATTTATTACGTGTTTTTAAAAGACTTCTTGTCATATCTTATTGATTTTTATTTGTTTTTTTTTTATTTATTTATTTTATAAACTGTTATAGAAATGAATGTACATAATCTTGTTAGAGCTCAGAAAAATATTTGAATGAAATCAACTTTTTAAAAAGAAAAAATGTATAGTCTGAGGTGTGACGTGATTTTAGGGGTAGGTGTCTGGTTTTTGTGATGATAAGCAGGGGGAGGTAAAAAAAATTGACCAAAAAGCGTGACGTCATTTATGCATGACAACCTCCCATCCCCCTCCTCCCCCAAGAGCCGTTAAACTCTTCTGTAAGCCAACAATAAATTACAAATGATTAAAATAGAGAGAACCTAATAAGACTTTTGGGTATTCCTGCACTTTACTAATTTCGTCACATGATTAATTTTTAGCCCTAGCCACGTTACCGGCAATTTTTTTTAATTAAAAAAAACTCTTTGTGTCCTAAAGAGACAATTTCTTACAGAAATGAATCCGTGTTTTAAAGTAACGTTCCACATATCCAGGATAACTTCGTCTCTGTTTCGAGTTATCGTTCCTGTCCAATTCGTACTCAGCATATAGTTGTCGTACTTGGCTTTGTTTATTTTTAAATCTGTCAACTGTTGAGTGAAATTGGTATTGTTAAATTTATTTATAAAAAAACAACTTTTGGTACATTCATAAAAAAAATCACAGTAGTTTTTTTTTTTTCATTTTTATTAGATCAATCATTGATTTTTTATACAATCATTTCACATTAAGTTTTTTTCAATTATTGTACTTTACTTTTAGTTAGACCATTTATTTTCCCGCGCGAGACTCACCCTGAAAAAGGCGATAATATTGTTGATACCGATTCTGAAACCAAGCAACATGGCGACATTTCTGCAGTCTTCCGGTTCGATACCCATTGCCAAGGCAACGGGATACAAAAGATACGATGAAATGAGCTAAAAAAAAAAAAACCACAAAATATTAAATATTTTTTTAAAAAATTGTTTTAGCGGCTGCGATCAATTGCATAGATTTAGGCGTTGGGGGAAGGTGAGAGAAGATAGGTGTGGAAGGTATTATTTTTATTTATTTTTTGAGTTTGTTGGTACCTATCTCAACCAGTGTTGCTTCCAGACTTTTTTCTCCGAGGGGGGGGGGGGGGGGGGGGGGACGACATACACTAAAATTTCCGGAGGGACGGACGCGGTTAAAAGTATATATTCTCTATATAAATTCCATTTCGTTCGGGGGGGGGGGGGGGGGGGTAGACTTTCTTCGTGGGGCTGAGCCCCCTTCCCCCCCCCCCTTCCACCCCACGGAAGATATGCCTGGAAGAAACTCTGATCTCAACTAACTGACTCTACGCCTCATTTATTGATCTCACTGTAAAACTAACCTCACCTGGTTTAACCCAGTCACCTCTATAACCTCTATACTTAGCTTTATTGTCAACCCCCACCTTGGGACCTCTTTACATAGCATAGTGCCCCCCCCCCCCCCCCCCATACCCCACATTAACCTACTCACCTCTATACTCAATTTGGTGATCCCCACCCTGTCACCAAACCACTCGAGCGTGTTGTTGATCCACTCGATGTATGAGAAAAAAGCGAACGACACCGTCAACATGTTGCCAATAACGGCCAGCATAGCGGTCGCTCCCGTTTGGGCGGCATCAAATATGTTGGTGTATTTCCTGAAGAGATGATATACAAACTCAACAAAAACATCAAATATGTTGGTGTATTTCCTAAAGAGATGATATACAAATTCAACAAAAACATCAAATATGTTGGTGTATTTCCTGAATGGGTCAGACACAAACACAATAGCGAATTCTTATAGATTGTGAATTGTGTGAAGAAATCATGCACATACAAACTATCACATTAAATCTCTAAGGGTCTTGTACAAACACCGACTGGACATAGCCGGACATAGCGTATCTAGATTTTTAGAGGAATGATTTAAAGACATTAGGACTAGCCTGGGCAAACCTTCATTCTTTAACAAATGATAATCCCAACCTTAAAAGAAGATAGGGGTCGGCGTGGTCGAGTCGGTAAAGCTCATGGCTGCTAAACCGAAACGTCTCGAGTTCGAACCCTCGGGCAAATGAGGCCCGTTAGCTGGGGACAGCAACTCTTCTAGGAGAGACAACTCCAAAATCAAACAACTGCTGCCTTGTAGTTAGTTCTTGGTTGGACAAAGGCTATGGAAGCAAATCCAAAAAGAACAGCAGGCTGAAATTGGAGTCAATTGCCTCAATGGCGCATAACCAGTTGACACGTATCCTTAATTGTGATGGAGGCGTGGTCGAGTCGTCAAAAGCTCATAGTTGATAAATTCGAAAATAATCTCGAATTCAAACCCTCTGGCAGATAAGGCTCGATCCCTTTCATCACTAAAAATTAAGAACGAAGAAGAAAGAAGAAGAAAAGAAGATAAGATCACCAAAAAACCAAAACCCCGATACAATGCTGTGTTTACCGTACTCGACTCTTTAAGATAGGTGTAAAACGTTTTGAAATCCCCCTCCCCCTTGGTCTTGTGCCAAAAACTAGTATCTCACTTTTTCTCCTCGTCTCCTATCTCCAACTCCTTGTCTGTCTCGGCCATGTTCCTAGTCTCTGGCACCATGAGCTTACACACAGCAAACGTGGCAGGGGCGGACACCACCATGGCCGGGATCAGAAACTCCAGGGATACCTGGGGGTGTGCGAGAACAGGAAATTTATTGATTGGGGGCTTAACGATAACTATGTTAACAATTGTGCTAATATTTTGGTTAAAGGAATTAAAACTTTTAGCGTCATATGTGTATGTAGCGGCGTCCATTGGTATGATGACAGCCGGTGCGTCATCCACTCTGCCCAAACATCTAGGATTACATCTATAATTGTGCTATTGTTACATTATTACTCTCGGGTGGTGTCATCTAGTGACTATAACTACGTTGTTAATTAATTGGATGAAAGCCGATGCTCATAATTTTCCTTATCACGCTACTTTTGTTTGTATGTTTTCCAAAAAAAAAATTTTAAACTTTAAGTTGTGATGAAGAAATTATTAGTGCTAAGATTTTGGCTATTTGAAAATAACTTACGCCAAGTGAAGAAAGAATGGCCAGATACGTTCCACCAAGCGAGGCAAAAACTGAACTGATGATCAGAAATAATTCCGACTTGGAAACTCTATCTAGATAAGGCCTCAGGGACAGTATAGAGACGTACTGATGAAGGAAAAATTATATATATATATATATATATATATATATATATATATATATATATATATATATATATATATATATATGTACAAATAGAGATTATTTAGTTCATTAATGTCCCGATAATATTATTTTGTGGCGATGGCATCATGTAGAGACTCACCCCTTCTAGGAAAATGCCAGCGGCAACACTGTAACTCTCCACAGGCGACGTTTTCAAGACAAAACGCAGAAAGCTGCCGATACATTTGATCAGGAATTGCATGGCACCAACGTAGTACAGCATGGTCAACGTGGCATTGGTCAGGAAAATAATGGGCAGTGCCTGATGATGAACAAATGGGTTATTACAATTATATGTATATATATATATATATATATATATATATATATATATATATATATATATATATATATATATATATATATATATATATATATATATATATATATATATATGTGTGTGTGTGTGTATAGATAGATAGATAGATAGATAGATAGATAGATAGATAGATAGATAGATAGATAGATAGATAGATAGATAGATAGATAGATAGATAGATAGATAGATAGATAGATAGATAGATAGATAGATAGATAGATAGATATTTACATATATATATATATATATATATATATATATATATATATATATATATATATATATATATATATATATATATATATATATATATATATATATATATATATATATATATATATATATATATGTGTGTGTATACATGTGTTTGTAGATAGTTATGTATATATATATATTTACATATGTGTATATATATATATATATATATATATATATATATATATATATATATATATATATATATCTAATATATAAAGCTCAATTCTGTATATAACACATATGTTTGTCGTGGATCTTCGATGGATTTAAGTGTTAGATAATTAAAGTCCTTATGGTCTAAATTTATGAGTTAAAAAATTAATATTGAAAGTTTTGGGAAATAATTTTCATTTATCAAACTGAAAGTAATAATTTTCGGCATGTTCATTAAACACAAGTTTTAAAAAAATATCATCTTTTACAAAAATTCTAATTATGTCTTTATTTAGTTCTATAGCACTAACTTCCCTTTGATAAATTAGGAAAACACAATTACTTCCCTTTATAAAACCATTGCATTAGTGGAAAAGAATTTACTTTTTATTACTTTGTTTTTGTGTTGGGAAAAAAAATAATTACATAAATAGCGGGGATTGATCAAGTGCAAATGTTGTAGGTATTTTACGGATAAGCTTGGAGTATTATAATTGTTCATTTGGTTTGGTTTGGCACCTACGTTCGTTTAAGTGAGTGCAAAAGACTATGAATAAGTTGGGGTACTATAGTCGTTTAATTAAGCTGAAACAGGCGATTCTGCCCCGGGCTAGACTGTGAGCATTTTGCGTTTGCGTTTGTGTTTTCTTTGTGTTTAGGTTGGGTTTGCGTTAGTGGTTGCGTTTTGCTTTGCTTTGTTGTTGTTCGTTCTTTTTTCGTTTTCGTTTGTGTTTTTTTCTTTAGATTTTGTGTTTGTATTTGTGTTTGTGGTTGGTTTTGCGTTTGGATTTGGTTTGTTGTCGTTTGCTTTTTCGTTTGTGTTTTTTTTCTTTGGGTTTGTGTTTGTGGTTGGTTTTGCGCTTGGATTTGGTTTGTTTTCGTTTGCATTTTCGTTTGTTTTTTTCTTTGTGTTCATATTGGTGGTTGTGGTTGGGTTTGTTGTTAGGTTTTTGTTTTCGTTTGTATTTGTAATTGTGTTAGCGATATGTTTGCGTTTTGTTGTTTTTGTTTTGGTTGGTTGTGGTTTGGGTGGGCAGAGCCGGGTTTATGATGATTACTAAACACACAGGTAATGGTCTTTAACAGAAAGGTTCTTCACAGAAGCCAGAGCAGGGCCTGGCCGGGACGGCTAATATATATATATATATATATATATGTATATATATATATATATATATATATATATATATATATATATATATATATATATATATATATAATTTAAAAAAAAATATTTATTTTAAAACAATATTACTTCAGTTCGAGATCGTGTTAACTCACTCCAAAAATAAAGTAATGGTCCATGTAGGTCTCCCCAAACATAAGTCTAGAGCTGGCCTTGGAGTTTGCAAAGAACTCGTCAAAACGGTCCTGGACCCATAGGATCGAGTCTCGGCCCGTCTTCCATTTGAGAGTCAGCAGCGCTGTCAGGAACTGTAGGCCAAAGCCCCAGTACACGGTATGCCAGTTCACCTTGGAAAACAAATTCTAGTTAGTTTTTAATCACGACAAATAGAAGATGAATTGCGCAAAGGTGACGATTTGTAAAAGGGTTTACTAAAAAAAATTCGGTTGCTCCGCAAACTTTGCTGTAATAATTTAATCTACTTCCCATTGTCCGATTGAGCTGAAATTTGGCAAGAATTTATTTTTATCTAATTAAATACACAGTTTTTCATTAAAATTAAAAGTTAACTATATTCAATAATAAAAGGGTAGATAACAAGATATAATAAAAGCGATCCGTTGATCAGAGGGCCATCCAGCCTAAACTTTTTTCACGGTTTGCTGATTTGGTGTCATATACTGATATAGTCGACCACGAACTAAATAGGGGCAGACAACCCAATCTTAGTATTTTTAGAGATTAATAGCTGCTTGACAGATTTAAACACCATCTTCATTTCGAACTAAAAAGGGGGAAATAATTCTCACATTTTTATTATATTTATATTCACAAATACCAACCAAAAAAAAAACAATCATAAAATGAAAGCATTTGCTAAAAATTATAAAAGAAATTTAGTTTAGCGTGACCTCATTTTACGCTACATGCCGGTATGACTAATAATAAAAGCTAGGGCGCTCCATTGTGAAAATTATGTTATAAAATTTGAACCTATCAACGAACTCCATACGTAATATATTCTCCATAAGTGAGCTTCCAGGCTTTTATTTTCAGTCATACCATAACTTTATTAAAGTTACACCAAATTAAATTAAATTTTAACTTTTTGGTAAATTTTCTCATTTAAGATTTCTTTTTTTTTTTACTTTCTCGTATATACGAAGTATAGAGACAGTCTTGTAATCGTGCAAAAAAAAATCTCGACGTTTTACACCTCACTGATATGGAAAAACATAATTTTGCAATCTTGTCCGTATGTCTGTGTGTGTGTGTGTGTGTCTGTCTGTCTGTCTGTCTGTGTGTAAACACGATAACTTGAGTACCGTTACAGCTAGGTTGATGAAATTTCATATATAAGTATTTTATCGATCAACTTTTGAGCGATTTCCGATAACCGGAAGTGGTATTTTTTTCTACTTTGAATTTTTCAAAAGCCTATAACTTGAGTACTGTTTCAGATAGATAAATGAAATTTCACATGTAAGTAAAAGATCTAATTCTCTACCTTCTATCAAATTTTGAGTAATTTTCGTTGACCGGAAGTACTAATTTACACTAATTCCGATTTCTCAAAAAACGCATGTTTATTTATAAAGTACTAATAATATCCCGCACTATTATGCACATTTTATTAGGCGTTCACTTGGTGTGCAATTCTTTTTTTACGAGATTCTATTCTATTATAAAAAGTTTAAGTAATTAAAAATGGATTACAAATATTGTCCATGTCCGGAGTTGCCATCCCTCGTAGTTTTATATTAGAATATTCGAGAAAGTTTAAGGGAGATCACTCCCGGTTTATTTACTTTCTCTTACATACGAAGTATAGAGAAAGTCTTGTAATCGTACCAAATAAAATCGATTTATTTATTCTATTTTTAAAAGTTTAAGTAAACAAAAATCATGTCTATATTCCGAGTTGATATCCCACGTAGTGTTATATTAGAATATTCGAGAAAGTTTAGGGGAGATCACCCCCGGTTTATTTTTTTATTTTTTTGTTATTTGTGAACATATCATTATTATTATAATAAAAGATATTTTCTTTTTTTTCTTTTTAAGTTTTTTATGTGAGGATTATTTCAATAACAACTCGATGAAATGTCTTGTGAGTTGAATATGAAATCTGACCTTGGACGGATGTGTGGAGAAGAGCAGACACACGAGCAGGAAGAGGAAGAGTCCAGGTAGTGACCGCAGGTTGTTGGCGTCCTTCCGCCCCTCGTCAATCAACGCGTAGACAGAGATAGCCATCACCACACCGTACATCAGCCTTAAAGTGGGGGAGAGGAGACAAACTCGTAAGATCAACTAAACGAGATCAAATCTAGTATCATCTAATTTAAAATAACCATCACTTGTTTTTAAGAGTTGAACCAAAATAAATGAAAATCGCCTATGTAAATAGATGGTTACTCGGGTCATCAAATTATAGGTCAAAAAATGTAATAATTAAACTAAAATAATTAAAGTCGCCTTGTAAAATGTTAACACAAGGTAACAGTGACTCGAATCACCACCAAACGACAGCACAACTCACCATCTGGTGAAGAACCTCGCCTTGTGTAACGTCGCTCTGTGGGCGTCAGAAAACCTTTCTGCGCCGTACCACCTCTTGAACAACCACCCACACGCTTGCCGGATGCGATGACGTGTGGCGATAATAACCCCCAGTATGGTGCACACTAGCAGCCGTACAGAAGGCTCGTCACCAAAACTTTAGGGAATATAGAACAAATGGAGTTTATGTTTGAAGACCAAAACTTTAGGAAATACAGAACAAGTATATGAAGGGCCTACGTCAGTTAGAATTATTTTATTATAACACTGTATATAACACGCTCTAATATAATGTGGCGTACAAACGCTTTTTTCCCAATAATTTTCCCGCATATATATATATATATATATATATATATATATATATATATATATATATATATATATATATATATATATATATATATATCATAAATGCTTATATATATACACATGTTCATCCATCCTTTATTGCATTTATATGTTTATTTATTTATGTCTCTCTTTCTCTCTTACCATAGATACATCGATTGATTGATTGACATAGGTATATAGTAGATAGATATAAATCGTTATACATCTGAAATTGTTTCAAAAACATTTAGCTGTCGAATCTTTTATTTTTCTAAATAAACCTAAATAGGATGATAGTTTATTTGCAATGCATTTTTAAAGGCCTGCTATAAAGTTTTTAAATGCTAGCATTAATTTCTACTTTTTAGTAGTTGTAAATTTAAAATTATACGCCCACATTTTTACTTTCTCGTATATACGAAGTATAGAGAAAGTATTGTAATCGTGCAAAAAAAAAATCGAGATTTTTACAAATCTCGACGTTTTACACCTTACTGATACGGAAAAACATAATTTTGCAATCTTGTCCGTATGTCTGTGTGTATGTGAGTCTGTGTGTGTGTCTGTAAACATGATAACTTGAGTACCGTTACAGCTAGGTTGATGAAATTTCATATATAAGTATTTTATCAAAATCGTAGATCCGTATAAACTTTTGAGCGATTTCCGATAACCGGAAGTGGTACTTTTTTAACTTTGAAATTTTCAAAAGCCTATAACTTGAGTACTATTTCAGATAGATACATGAAATTTCACATTTAAGTAAAAGATCTAATTCTCTACCTTATGTCAAATTTTTAGTTATTTCCGTTGACCTGAAGTACTAATTTACGCTATTTTTTATTTCTCAAAAACTAATGCAAATTTATAAAGTACTAATAATATTCCGCACTATTATGCACATTTTATTTGGCGTTCACTGGTGTGCAATTCTTTTTTCTACGAGATTCTATTCTATTTATAAAAGGGTATATAAAATGGATTAAAAATCATGTCTATATCCCGAGTTCCCATCCCCTGTTTTTTTATATAAGAATATTCGAGAAAGTTTAGGGAAGATCACTCCCGGTTTATTTTTATAAAATTAGTTTACATTAATTCTTTCCGCACTGTTCGTTTTTAATTAAATCAACACCTAACACGACTTATAAAATATTCGCTTTAAAACCTGATCCATAACCCGAAACCACAATTATCTGTCCCTTATTAAAGTCCCTGGTCGGGTTTCAGGTGTGAAAATATCCTTAAGCACAGCTCAATTGACGGATCGAGTGATCACTACTAAATATACTGGCTACTTCCCAATTTTTTAAATTATTTTATTTTAATGTAACGTCTAATTAAATAGAAAATGCATTAATCTTGTGTTCAAATTGTAAATGAATTTACATTTGGAAAGTTTAAAGGAAACGATTTCTGAGAAACGGGTTTACAAGGAGTTAGAAGATTTAAAGACAAACCCAGTCTTAATTAACTATGGACATTAAAAAAGCTTCTAGATATAGCATATTACTCTCAAATTATTTGTTGTTTTTTTTAAATAGCGCATCAAGAAAAAAAAATCTCACACTACTTACTCGTGAGCCATAGCGATGATGAAGTATACTGCGTAACCCAGCAGGAAAATGGCGGCTGTGAAATATCCTTTGGTTATCCTCTTCAGCATGTCGTTGATGCGCTTGCACATCTTCTGAATCTGAACGACCGTTTTGCCGATCCAGTTTGAGTTGCTCAAGTCCCGGTCAATTTCTTCGTCGCTTTCATCCCAACCATCATCGTCGTCTTTGTCTTCTTTAGGTAGAAACATGGTTTCACACTCTAGCTCAATGGCATTTTCCTATTATAAAAACAGGTCTTCAGTATCACTAATCATTTTTTACAGGCCATATGATATTATTCATTTTTTTTAATTTGTATTTTGTCCTAGCTATACAACTATTGGCTATTTTACTTCTGCTACTATTTAATTTTTTAAATTATAAAATAATCAAACGGTACGACGTTTTAGTTATTATAAGTTCGAATTCATTTTTTAAAAACAATATCCATGCTAGTAAATGTATTTGGATACCCAACTTGTGCTTCGATTCTTAGTACTACAATGTTAGAAAAATGTGTTGTAAACTATTGTAAAATCTGATAAGAGTAACGAACACATTTGAAGTCTAGTTCATCATATATGGCCGTGAATATTCATCATCTACGGCCGAGACTGTCCAACATATATGGCCGAGGCTATTAGCTACAGCCGAGACTGTCCAACATATATGGCCGAGGCTATTAG